AAAAAAAAAAAAATTAGTTTTTTTTTGAAAAAAGGAAAAAAAAAAAAAAAAAAAGACTACCTTCAAAATCTATCCACGCTCATCTAAATACAAGATTCAATTTACACCTTTATCATTCCTTCCTTCCCCTACTGCTCTAGTTTTGAATGTTGCTCCTCCCAAACTCACGTTGAAATTTAATTGCCATTTTAACAGTATTAAGACGTGAAACCTTTAAGAGGTGATCAGGCCATGAGGACTCGTGAATGGATTAATGCTGTTATCTCAGGAATGGATTAGTTTGGGCCCCTTTTACGCTCTTCCTTGCCCTCTCGCCTTCTACCACAGGTAGACACAGCAGAAAGGCCCTTTCCAGACGCTGGCCCCTCAACCTCAGACTTCCCAGACTCCACATTGTATATCAACAAAATAAAAATTTAAAGGAAAAAAAAAAAAAAAAAAAGACTACCTTCAAAATCTATCCACGCTCATCTAAATACAAGATTCAATTTACACCTTTATCATTCCTTCCTTCCCCTACTGCTCTAGTTTTGAATGTTGCTCCTCCCAAACTCACGTTGAAATTTAATTGCCATTTTAACAGTATTAAGACGTGAAACCTTTAAGAGGTGATCAGGCCATGAGGACTCGTGAATGGATTAATGCTGTGTGGTATTTTGTTATAGCAGCAGGAAATAGATTAAGACACCTACTCACTTAAGCCCCCAAATATATTTGGTACTCTGTTTAGCAATGGACAAAGCCCTACCCATCTAAGTACTCAAAATTCTTTGTAATTTTACCTTAGAACCTACAGAGAAGGTTAACTCATTTTCAGGCTGTAAAGGGCTCCCCTTAGGGTGATCTAAAAAAGAATTTACTAAAATGCTGCAGTCAGAGCACTAATGAAATAAATGAACTTCTCAAGGTGTCATGTTGGCCATTTAGGAATGAGGCAAACTTGTCCAATAATGGGCTCTGCACCTAAGTCACCTATTCTTACAGGCTCCCTTGTGCTTCTGTCTCCATCTGAATTCCTTTTAATATTCATGTCAGCACAGGAGAGATATATTTGTTATATCAATGAGTGATCATTGGGAAGAACTGGTAGTCTGGCAGCAGCAGAAGCCAATACACCTGACAGTTATACCAAGGGTCTCCAAAGACAGATCCAGTTTGGTGGTAGACAGTGGGAAATGATTCATGTTCTAATTGTTGCTAAATTATAAGGGAATCTCCAAATAGAGTCATCTTCAAGAGAAATCAATCAGATGCATAAACTTCTATAAGGTTTTCTGCTTATTTGTGAGAGAATGGGTACTTGCCTTTTTCTCCAGGAGAGATGAGGTCTAAGGGGTCAAAACTTTTTTCAGACATGGACTTAAGATATGAATCTGCATCCTGATGTTCCTGCAAATACCCCAATTCTAATCTAATTGAATTAATGTAAGATCTAGTTACCATAACAATTACAACATTAATTTGCAAAACAAATCGAAAACATTAAAAAATAAACGAATATACAGCATAGCATTTTTGGGGATCAGAAGTTGGAGTGTATTAAATGGAGGAACCCCCCCAAGGTGTCCCAACTCAAGATAAAGGGTTAACCATAAAATTAATATTACAAAGTTGAAGTCTGATGTTACAAGCCACTAACACTGCCTTCCTCTTCCCCACCTTGACCTGCCCCTCTTTTCAGTACCCAGTACTGTGAGGCCCCAAACAGACTGCTCTATTCCTAGATCTGCATCTCAGCAAAACTCCCATAGGATTGGCTCACAAAATCCTCAAATGAAAGCTTCCTCTCATTTGTCTGTCATTCTTGCTGGGCCAGACTTGGGGGCTTCCCAGCTGTCAATCAGAGAGGCTGGAGACACTTCTGTGACCTACCTTTATTGTTACTCTAAGTAATAATAACATTGCAAGGAATCCCAGACTGCCTGTGGATAATGGCACCAAGATGGGTCAGTGTATATACAGAGTTTGAGATGCAGATAAAATGTGAGTTACAGGTAATCTCTTGCCCAGTGCCTTTACAGTGTGGCTTTTTGCAAGGATTTTCAGGCCAGGTGTGAAGAAAGTTTAAAGAGACTGTATTTGAGGGATAACTAAATAACTGGAGTAACCTCAGATACTCTGAATAGGCCTTAAGCCCATCCCCCTGCCTTCTGGGATAATACTAAGATGTAAATGAAAATTCTGCTCTGAATCTGGAGAGGCCCAATCCCCAGATCCCATTCTTCAGGAACTTAAAACCCTGGTTCCTGGCAGCTATAGAGTAGGAGGCTACAGGTGGCAAAGACATCTTTTGCTTCCCCCACCCCGACACCCCACCACACCTTCATTTTCCTCCAGCTTGCGGATGTGGCGCAGGACAGGCTGCAGATTCATGTAGAGACGGTGGCTGTTGCTCAGAAGTTGCAGGAGGTGTCTGGAGCGCATGGGGCACCCTGTGTAGTATATAAGCTTCCTGGCTGAGGGCAGGCCATCTGGCAAAATTTCAAATTTCTTACCCTGTGGAGGGAAAGCATGAATCAAATTTAGGGAGAAAAACCTCTGATTTGCCAAGGTCCCCTTCATTTTCTATTTAGTAAGGAAAACTGCGGATTTGGAAATAGACGTATAAAGCTCCATTTAAAATTCCCTGAGGGGTAAATTGTCTTCCTTTTCAAAAATTTCACAGGACAAAGGATTGCCAAAAATTCAGGGAAGCATTTAGCCAGGGTCCTCTGGTAAACACTAACAATGTAAGACAGATGGTGAATTCCTTTAGTTTCTCTGGCTGGTCAGGCTATTTCTATAATGGAGAAGAGAAGGGCCCATCATGAAAGCATCCTTGGATGCAATCCCAATACCGCAATCCCAATACCCCAACTCAGCAAGCAAAAAGACAAAGTCTAGAAGAGATTAATGCATTTGAATATTTATGGAACACTTATTATCATCCAAACACTGTGTTAGACACTATAAAAATAACTGTGAATAAGACAATGTCCCTACCCTCATGGAGCTACAAACCCAGTGGGGGAGATGGTAAATAAACACATAAAGCAATTATAGTTTATGATAAATTTTGGAAAGAAAATAAATAAGGAGTTATGATAGTGAACAATATAAGATACATATCTACTGTTTAGGAAAAAATGGAAAAGTTCTTTAGCAGTTGGAGGAATGAGATGGGAAAGAGAAAGAAGAGCTATCAGTAGAGGTATAAGAAATATCATTAAGTCTGGATGAGGGTTTGGTTAAGGCTCCTTACAGCTATGGGATATTATTAATTCCTTTAACTTTCCTAATAACGAATAGGGCAATAGATTTATAAAAATGAATATTTCACATACAAAGATCCTTGGCTGGAGGGCAGGGAAAGCAAGGAGGAAGCCATATTCTAACTACATAACTCAAAGTCAGCACAAAGCAATATGGGTTTGTGTAGCCCAGCTAAGGATAGACGTTTTTGTTTTGTTTTGTTTTTTAATACCTCTGAGCTTTTCATTTTAAAAAACAGCAATAACTGACATTTCGTGAGCATTAAGCATGTATTAACTCATTTAATCCTCACATGTTGTCTATGGGGAAAGGTCGATTATCCCCATTTTAGAATGAAACCAAGGCACAGAGAGGTTAAGTAAGTTCCTTAAGGTCACATAGCTAGGCAGGGCTGGGTTGGCTGCAAGATGAATCATCTGGGAAACTTGTCAAAATCAATTCCCAGTCTCCACTCCAGACCCAATGAATCAAAAATCTCTTGGGAAAAGAAGGTGAGGCCCAGAAATCTGTATCTTAAGCTCCTCAGATAAGGCTGATGCACAACTAGATTCAGGAACCACTGAGTCCAGGACCCTTAAAAAACTCAATGTCATAAATGTATTTTATTACTACTTAATTTGGAACATAAAAGGGCCAAGTGGGGTTATAATGTGCTCATTTTCAAACAGGTCAGATCCTTTCACAAAGAGCTTGAACAAGAGAGAGCCAGTGAGGAGGAGGTAGGCCAGGCCCCAATTAATGTATGAGTAAAGTGAAATCAGATTGAATTGTGCCCAAGTAATTCAAGTAATGTGAAGTCAGAAAACAGGTCTTTTGCCTCACAATGCAGAGTGGAGTGAGCGTTCACCTTCTATCTGCAACGTTGCCCTTTACATAAGGGCTCATACAAGCCATCTTCCTTACAAGAAAGAAGCACATGTCTACAAATCCTTATCTTCCTCCTTTCTTCCTGTATTTTTTCTAATAACTTCTGAACAAAGCAGAATCATGGATTTTTATGACCACCAGATGTAAACACACTATTAGCTGTAATTCTTTGAACCCTAACAAAAAATGAATACAGTAAGGTAGGGAAACAGCTGGGAAAAATAAAAAATTTGCTCTAACAAAAGAAAGTGCATCATTCTCAATATCCTAACAATAAGAGTACTTTTCCTGTTAAGAATTGTAGATCTTTTTTTTATAATGATGACTATTTTAAATAGTCAGATATTAATAGAAACATCTTTTTATATCATTCTTTATTCGTTGCTCAAAAGAAATAACTTTCAAAAGAAGTGATCGACTTCTACAAGAAGAGTAAGTTACCCTGTGATTATGGCTTTCTGTTTTCCAATCCCTCCGCTGTAGGCTTTTTATGATAATTCTATTTGATCAACTCATCTTGTACTTTTCTCACTATTTCTTCGGCAACTAGAATAACTTAGGGGAATGTGGTAGAAACCAGACATATAAATTAAAATTAGTAATTTCTTTTGCTATAAGATTCTTTGATTTTAAGTTCCCTACTGATGAGTGGCAAGGATATGCACAAGGATATAAGAAAGCAACTACCTTCAGCTTCCACTTTTAAAAAACAACTTTTGTGCTTAAGACAACATTGTTTAAAAACAAAACAAAAAATAACAAAAACCCACAAAAACAAATTGAGACTTCTTAAAAAAAGTTAGTTATTATAAACTTACCACAAAAACCAACTTTCCAACATTTGTCCAGGGGAAATCATAAAGTAATTGTTTCTCTTCATCTAAATTCTGTGGAAAGAATTACAATGCATATAGAGTTAATAGTAAAAATGACAGACACTCTGAAATGGCTCTAACTTCTCTCCCAGAAAACTAAAATACAGTAATTAAAATCTGAAAGAAGTCCCCAACTCTCTTTGGTGAAGTACAGACAGTAATTAAAAGATTAGTGATATAATTCTGTAGCTTTTGGTTCCTGTGTGACTGCATTAACTGGCCCTTTCGAGGCAATCTTTTCCCTTCTGGCCTATCCCTAAATTTAAATAAAAAGTCCTAAAGACTCAGGCATTCAAGAGATATGATAAGACACTCAGACTTTCATAATTGGATACTTTGCCTACATCAAAGATAAGGCATCCTTATATATTCCTACATCTTGAAGAAAGAGGTATTCTCTCTCCCCAGTTGATGACTGTAGGATAACAACATTCCATCTGTAAAAGGGTGACAGTTACAACACACTCAAGGGACAAGTTTTATCAGAAAAATGTAATGGAAATTAAAATATCTGGTCGGGCACTGTATTAAAATGTCATGTTTCTTTACACACTTATAAATGCTTCAAAGGATAAAAGAGCATATTTAAAATCAATCACAAAAAGAAAAATGTCTGGATATTAGTGATCTGTTAGTGATGAGTCTGGGTTAATCTTTGGCTTATTGTTTTCTGTTATGGAGGACTTATTTCTGTCAAGGAACGGGTTGAGTAACTTCATTCATCCTATATCCTCCACATCTATGCTTAGACAGACAGGAAATAATGACCAGTTAGTGACTGGAAATGGACCACTGAACCTGTGACAGGACTACACAGGCACACTGTAAACATGAGACATGACTGATACCATTTGATACTCATTTCTCATTTACCAACCTGAAAAATCTGTATTCCCCGCATGGTCAATCCAAGGGTCAGTGAAGCCTCAATTTCCCTTTTATCCTGCAGAAATAAAACTTTATGAAAAAAAATTTCATAAACTTTCCTTCTCCAATGGACAATTCAGCACCAAAGAAACAGAAGGAGAAATTTCTGGATTGGAAAGTTTTTGACTTAAAATAACTTTGTTCAAGTCTTTTCCATACCTGTAGTTTCCTGTAAGATTTAAGAAAATCATGAGCACATATTAAATCAATAATGATATATTCTACTTTTTAAATCCCAGAGATTTCTAAGTTTTAGTGTCTTCACTATGTTAGTGAAATATGTGACAATATTCTAAGTACTTATGTTATTGAGAATTCAGTAAACAAGACAGTTTTTGCTGCTTTTGTACCATATCAGTTTTTTTTAAAACTTCCTATCTTATGCTTACTCTCTTCTCAGAAGTTAGAATCTTGAATCTAATGTCATAGTTATATTCTGAAATACATCAGACTTTATATGTTTAAAACTGGGCAAATCTCTCAGCTCTGAAGCCAAAATTAGAGGCAAGGGACTAAAAAACACTTAAGGCTCTCTCATGAGGACAGATAATAAAGCTGTAAAAGCTTTATATTTGGTTAGTTTGGAAATACTTATTTTTAAGAAGTTCAATTATCACTTGCCAGTATAATACACATTCTACCAGCTACACCATAAACAGTAAAAAATAAATCTCAATAAGCATAAGGAAAAAAATTCTACAATTAAAAATGTACTCTGAAACTTGGCCATATCTTTTAAGTGCTCATCTGTAATAAGTACATATAAGGTATGAAGTTAAAAACAGAAGTAAATAAAATCCCTAAGTAATTAAAATATTTCACTCAGAGATTTGTCAATAAAAACAATAAACGAATATGTGTAGATCTTTAACTTTAGTGCCAATTTTCCCACAAACGGGTGAAGAAATATTTTTAGGAAATGCATCTTCCTCTGGCATAGCAAAGAGAAGATATAGCCTATTTTCACTATTTGGGCTGTTTCTTTCCAACTAATATATTTTCATATCAAGAAAGGTGCACACGGTATAAGGTTTAACAGGAGAAACCAATCCATCATTATCTGAGTTTTGGGCAATTTCCCTTTCAAGGCTGTACTGAACGCTTTCTAAAATAAGACTGTGCTCATAAAAATGCTGATTGTTCATGGATGAGGTGTGTATTGGTGGGAAAGGGGCACAAAACAGCTTTTCTCCAGAATGTTTCCTGTCCTCTGTTTACCTTATTTCCATTTTATAAGCAGCCTGTAAATGAAGCAGATTTAATGGCTGCCAGTTGATTTCTCCAAAGAATGAAAAACTGCCCGGCAGGTAACAATATCTATTCCCTAACTTCATTCAGTTACATTTTTATTAAATATCTTGTTTTACGCAGATAAGACAGCAATTTTCTATGTAATGCAGATGTACCACACTTTAAACAAATTTGAAAAATTAATTTTCACACAAAAGATAAATTGGGGATATCTACTTCACTAAAAGGTTCTTATTTCTTAATAGCATTCTTTAAAATAGCAAGCTTTTCTAGCAAGTAAGGTAAGACGCAATTAATATTTATTGAACACTCACTAATGTGCCAGGTATTATACCTCATTATTTCAGATTCATATGTCATGAAATCCTACCAACCTTGTGAAGTGTATAGTATCATCCACACTTCACAGATGGCCCAGGATTATAGTTGTGGCCTAGGATCCCAGTAAGAGTTATTAGTGGCATAAGGTCTCTTCTTGATATCTAATTTCAAAGCCACAATCTTTCCAATATATCATTCATACTTCCAATACATTTTAAAATAAAAACTGTTTGTCAAAACTGACATTTATTTGCCTTTTCTCATGTAAATTGAGGTGCCACAAATGAAATCTTAAGGAAAAAACAAACAAACAACTCAGTCCTTTAGGAACTTAGCCAAAGGGATCTTACAGAACTCAATTATGCCTTTCAAGGATGATGGGACATTAATAATACATCTCTTAGGCATGGAAGACAGAGAGAGAAAAATCATGTTTTGGTCCCTTATTATGTTTTTGAATTAGCTGGGAAGATTACCCAGCAATACATTCAAACTACAGCCCAGTTTCCAAAGGTCTAGCTCTGCTAACCTTACCACAAAAGAAGTGGTAGAAATAACAAGCATAATAATAACAATGATAATTTTATTATGTTTTTGAATTAGCTGGGAAGATTACCCAGCAATACATTCAAACTACAGCCCAGTTTCCAAAGGTCTAGTTCTGCTAACCTTACCACAAAAGAAGTGGTAGAAATAACAAGCATAATAATAACAATGATAATGGTAACAGCAGTGAGCCGCACATCATGTTTAACACATGCTGGGCACTGTTTGAAGCACTCTTCATCCATTAATTCCTTTAGTCTTCAGCAATGCTAAGAGGTAGGCATGGAAACTGAGGCACAGAGAGGTTAAGTAAGGTCACATAGAAGCCAAGCTGGGATTCGATCCCAGGCAGTTAGGACCAACAACCACGCTCTTAACTATTTCATCCTATTTGGTTTGAAAAAACATGCCTTTGCATACCTAAGTGGGGATTCAAGAGTTCTTGCCAACAAAGTGGCACTTGCGGAATAGGGAAAGGGGTGGGGAGGAGGAGGAGAGAAAACAAATAGATGACAATTAGTAATGTGAGTGATTCCCTGCAGAGCATGGCCCCAGTTGTTATTTGGGTGTGTGACCTCTGCCCCAGGACGAAGAAAATGAGGCTAGAGACACACAAGACACAAACAAACAAGAGAGTGAGGGAAAGGCACAGTATAGTGGCTTAAGCACATAAGCTTTGTTATCAAGAAGGCCTGGGTCAAATCCTGGCTCTGCCACTTAGTTTTGTGATCTTAGATGAAGTATTTAAACTGCTTAAGCCTCAGTTTTCTGGCCTCTACAATTCTTTTTCTTATAGAGTTCTGAGGATTAGGAAAAAAAAGAATATAAAGTTGTCCAATAAACACAGTATTCCATAAACATAACTTGTTGTAGAGATGTTCTTGTAATTAACAGATAGAATGCAGGTATGGCTCTTCACTTTGAGGAATATTAAAAACTACTAATCAAACAAGTTGGAAACATTATTCCCCAAAGCAGAAAAACAAATTTGGGGAGGAGAAAAATAGCAGCTATTCCATAATCACTGAAGAGCCAGATTCACAATTTGTAGCCACACTTATTATCTCACTATTCGAACCATTAAAAAAATATTTTGTACTGCTTCCAGGCCAAAGGGAAAGCACCACTGCCTCCAAGACTGACCTGTGATAACAAACAGCAATTCAAATGAAACTCTTTTAAAAGTCTACTAAAAAATGAAATAAGAATTTTCAGTAGAATTGACACCCTAATTGAGAAGACTTTTTTTTTTCTCTGAAGCTGCAGACTTATTGCAGTTTTGTACCTTATACAATCTGTAGTAGTGAACGGCAACGTCATCCAGTCGGACAGCCTCTTTGATATATTTAAGATGAGCCTCAGAAGCTGTCAGTGCAAACTGATCTTTGTGCATGTTTGGAATGTGCTTCAGGATGTAGTCCTTCCCCCTCTTGGAAACAACCTGTTGGGATATAAGGGGTGTGCAATGCAACATTTGTTGGAGGGATGTAAGTTCTACTCCCACCCCCCAAATAAAGAAAGGATAAGAATCCAAAACAGGCCATGTAAACTGGCTAACTTCCATTAGAAAATTCCCACTTTCATTGTTTTCACCATCTGTTATGTTACTAGGCTGAATCAGTGAGCACTAAAAGCTACAAAGTCAATTTGGCTGTAGTGCAGCATATCTCAGAAGAAAAATAACAAGAAATGGAAAAAATTAGTTCTTTTGGCTTTAAAATCATCATGAAAAAAAAAAACTGTGCAAACACATCACTGTTTATACTTGCAAAATTACTGGTACTATGAAATACATGTACCATCAGCACATCTTCAGGTTTTAGATCCTTCTTAACTCTTAACTCTAAAATTATAGCCACAGAGTGGCAAGTCCTAGATGTTAATCCAAAGTAGGCAGGGGACTGGGGAGGAGAATTCTCTGAAACATTTTTGGTTCTCATATAAAAGGCTGATACAAACACTCTTTTTGAATACTTAGAAATAAACAATAGCATTCAAGCATTCATTGTGATTCACTGTGGCTTAGACTTTCATTGGATAGTAGTCTTAGCCTTTAGGTATCAAAAAAATAGAATCCAGCAGCTTTGGGCTAAGAGAAAGATGCTGAGTAAAGTCTTAGCTGATTTCATTAGGATTATGAAATGTGGAAAGAATTATGCAATGTAAACAAGAAGAGTACTGCTTAAACTTTACAGAATAAAAAAATTAGAGAATTTAGTTTTAAAATGTCTTTTTAGTTATTGTAAATTTTCTCTTCTTATTAAATATTTTATAGAGAATTCAACATGATAGATTATTGGTCAAGAACCAAGAAGACATAGGAAACCCGAACAGACCCACAACAAGCAATGAGAATGAAGCAGTAACCAGCAGTCTCCCAATGAAGAAAAGCCCAAGACCGGATGGCTTTACTGCTGAATTCTACCAAACCTTTAAAGAGGAATTAATACCAATTGTCTTCAAAGTATTCCAAAACATGGAGGGAAACAGAGGCCACTCTCCCAAACTCATTCTGTGAGTCCAGCATCACCTTGATGCCAAAACCAAAGATGCAACAAAAAAAGAAAACTACAGGCCAATATCCTTGATGAACATAGACACAAAAATCCTCAACAAAATATTAGCAAATAGAATACAGCAACACATCAAAAAAATTATACACCATGATCAATGGGATTCATCCCAGAGATGCAAGAAGATGTTTCAACATACACAAACTAATGTGATATACTACATCTATAAAATGAAGGAAAAAACCATATGATTATCTTGACAGAGGAAGAAAAGGCTTTTGACAAAACTCAACATCCCTTGATGATAAAGACTCTCAGCAAATTAGGTAGAGAAGGAAAGTATCTCAACACAATAAAAGTCATGTACGACAAATCCACCACCAATATCATCCCAAATGGGGAAAAGATGAAAGCCTTTCCCTTAAGAACAGGAACAAGACAAGAATGCCCACTCTCACCACTCCTATTTAACACAGTATTAGAAGTACTAGCAAGAGCAATCAGGCAAGGGAAAGAAAGAAAGTGCATCCAGATTGGAAAAGACAAAGTCAAACTGTCCCTGTTTGCAGATGACATGATCCTATATATAGAAAAACCTAAAGTCTCTACCAAAAAACTCTTAGAGCTGATAAATGATTTCAGTAAAGTTGCAGGATACAAAATGAGCATGAAAAAATCAGTAGCATTTTCACACTCCAACAACAGACTAGTAGAAAAAGGAATCAAGAGGGGCCGGCCCGGTGGTGTACTGCTATAGTGCGCCGCTTGGGAAGCGCGGTGGCGCTCCCGCCGAGGGTTCGGATCCCACATACAGACCGGTTCCCGCTCACTGGCTGAGCGAGGCGCGGGAGCAACACCGAGGGTTGCGATCCCGTTGCCGGTCCCGATCCGGTACAGGGGCGACACTGAGGGTTGCGATCCATTGCCAGACACAGAAAAAGACAAAAAGAAAAAAAAAAAAAGAAAGAAAGAAAAAGGAATCAAGAAATCAAGCCCATTTACAATAGCTCCCCCCAAAATTAAATGCCTACAAATAAATTCAGCCAAGGAGGTGAAAGATCTCTACAATAAGAACTACAAATCACTGCTGAAAGAAATTGAAGAGGACACAAAAAAATGGAAAGATATTCCATGCTGTTGGATTGGAAGTATCAACAAAGTGAAAATGTCTATAATACCCAAAGCAATTTACAGATGCAATGCAATCCCTATCAAAAAACAATGACGTTTTTCACAGAAAAAAAAAAAAAACCAATCCTAATATTCATATGGAACAACAAAAGACCCCGAATAGCCAAAGTAATCCTGGGGAAAAAAAAAAAGCTGGAGACATTACATTACCTGACCTAATATTATACTACAAAGCTATAGTAATCAAAACATCATGATACTGGCATAAAAATAGACACTTAGATGAGCGGAACAGAATAGAGAATCCAGAAGTCAACCCACATTCTTACAGTCAACTGATCTTCAACAAAGGCACCAAAAACATACACTGGGGAAATGACTGTCTCTTCAATAAATGGTGCTGGGAAAACTGGATATCCATAAGCAGAAGAATGAAACTAGACCCATACCTCTCACCATATAACAAAATCAACTCAAAATGAATTAAAGATTTAAATATAAGACCTGAAACTACAAAACTCTTAAAAGAAAACATAGTGGAAATATTTCAGGAAGTAGGACTGGGCAAAG